CCCGAGGTACCACTGTATATTGAACTGGCTAGATTAACAGAGGCAATTAGAGATCACATTAGACAAGAGTTTCGAAAAGCATGGGGGAAATGCAGAGAATACTTCACAAAACAGGGCCCTAAAATACACACCTGGACTTGTTTCAATTAATGTCTGCAGGAGACTTTGTGGATATTTAAGTTATAATTAGAAAATTCTTAGTAATTATTCATAAAGGAAACAGCTTATAAGAAGTCAAGAAGGAGGCCGGATACAGGATAAAGGAAGTCTTTTATTTGTATTGTTTGTATTGCTGCATGTTATGCTTATTGAATGTTATGTTCGCGTTTAATGAGGGTGGATTTCTGTATTGGGGGGGTGGGGGGTTTATGTTATGTTGTAAATAAAATTTCCAAGAAAAAAAGAAAAGAAATAGTGTTCAACCTTATAACTGCTTCTGAGATAATAACAGGAAATAATGGAGGGTGGAGACATATGTCCTAGTACTCAGTGCTTTCCTCCCCCCCAAAAAACGTTTAGGAGTACTTTCATTTTAATTCAAGAAAACCACCATTTTATAGTTCAAATCGGGGGGAAATAAATACAGTAAATGGACAAAAGTACGAAGAGTCGCAAAATGTTTAGGAGTATGCGTACCCCCAGCAAGAAAAGCACTGCTCCTGCTACATCTGAGTGCATTGAGAAAAATTGGTACAATTATTACCAAATAATACATATAAACCAGCCGAATGAATTTATGGAGAAATTGGTATTTTTTTGGTGTGGGGGGTAAGGTTTTGCAACAAGTTCCACTCTTGTCACAAGACCAGAGATCTGGAACTATAAATCTGGGCGCTTTGTAGCACTCGCTCTGGAATATAGCTATAGTGGAGAAAATTCAGATTTCAACAAGGACTCTACACTTCAGTTGGGGGAAAGCCACACTCGCAGAGCTCAGGCGATGCTGATTTCGGCATCCGTGTTGTATGGGGGACCCAAGAGCCCTTATAGAGTCCCTTGCAGGTTCTCCATCGGTCGGAGAAAATCACAGAGGCCAAGCAGAGATTATTGAGAAGCAAAGCTGCGAGTAAGCCTGATACCGGATTTCTCGCTCCATAGGGCGCACCTGACCATAGGGCGCACCTAGTTTTTAGAGGAGGGAAACACACCAAAAAAATATTCTGAATCAAATGTTGCACTAAACTATTTAAAGCAGCAAAGTGGGCGGCTCCTGTCCGCCTTGCTGTTTAAAGCGAGCCTCAGAGGAGGGAAGGAAGGGGAACCATGTCTTATCTAAGTCCAGTTAATGATGGTGAGCTTGACTTATGGCCATGGAGATTAGCCTGGCCGTCTCAGTGGAAATGTGGGGAGGCTGAGGTGGACTTTCCAGTGGTCAAAGTGTGGTTGTGTCTTCCTGCCCGGCATCTATTTCCTGCCCTCTTTCCACGAGTGTAAGCTGCTCCCCTTCCACTTTGCTGCTTCAAAGGGAACCCGGGAGGAGGGAATCCACTGCATGGATCCCCTTCCTTCCCTCCTCCGTGGTTGCTTTGAAGCAGGAAAGTGGGAGAGGAGCTGCTTACACGAGTGCTTCAAAGGGAGCCCGGGAGGAGGGAATCCACTGCAGCTTCCCCCACCTCCTGCAGAAGCCCACAGAAGCCGTGCGCTCTTTAAAGGGTGTGTGACTCCTGTGGGCTTTCTACGAGGTGGGAGAAGGGACTGATGCGGCCAGCCAGTCCCTTCTCCCTCCTGGGGAAAAGCCCACAAGAGCCGCACGGAGCTTGTATGCGGCTCTTGGGGGCTTTTCCCGCCTGCCTCCCCCCTGCATTCGCTCCATAGGACGCACACACATTTCCCCTTGCTTTTCAGGAGGGAAAAAGTGTGTCCTATAGAGCGAAAAATACGGTATTTATTGATCTGTTGCAACAAGGTGCTCCCCTCACGCGCAAGGGGAAAGGAGGAGGACCCTGAACAAAGGTGCAACCGCCCATATATTGACATTTCCCCCCAGTTAGCAAAACGAGTGCAGGCACCTGTTTCCATTTCAGATTTCCGCTGTCCCACGATGCAGCCCTGTGTTTTGAGGGAGGCCAACCTAAGCTAGAGACAATTGCCTGGACGAGTTTTCTTTCATGCTGGCTAAGCGTTTGTTTTCCAGCTGCTGCAGGAGTTTAAGTATAGGTTGGGGGGGTTGCCCCTCCAGCAGATATCACGCACATGCAGCCCACTACCAAAATCAGCACAATCACCTTTTGTGACTTTTGTGATTTGTCCCCACAAAACACTTCCTAGCAGTTTCTTCCTATCTATTCAAAGGGCCTCTGCTGCACGAGACCAAATGTAAGAATTTGCTGACCGATGTATCTATGTACTGGCTCACTGGGGAAACTTCCAAAATTCCTATAGACATGTGAGCTCAGCTGCTCAGCAGCCCCTCTGCCTGAGGGATAATTCCTGGCATCCTGATACCTGAGTGCCGGACAGGGAGCTGTTCTGGAAAGAACAAACCCAGATGAAGACAAAAGGGTGGGATTAACTTGGCAGGGAAAGAGGAAAATGTAAATATCTCTTTTTTTACACTTGATGGGTGTTTGGTGGAGGGCAAGGGGAACCATAGGGACGCGGGTGGTGCTGTGGGTTAAACCACAGAGCCTAGGACTTGCCAAGCAGAAGGTCGGCGGTTCGAATCCCCGCGACGGGGTGAGCTCCCATTGCTCAGTCCCTGCTCCTGCCAACCTAGCAGTTCAAAAGCACGTCAAAGGGCAAGTAGATAAATAGGTACCGCTCTGGCGGGAAGGCAAACGGCGTTTCCGTGCGCTGCTCTGGTTCGCCAGAAGCGGCTTAGTCCAGCTGGCCACATGACCCGGAAGCTGTACGCCGGCTCCCTCAGCCAGTAAAGCAAGATGAGCGCCGCAACCCCAGAGTCGGCCATGACTGGACCTAATGGTCACGGGTCCCTTTAGCTTTACCTTTAAGGGGAACCATGGGGCAGGGTCCAGGATGCTCAGATTACTGCCACCAGACCTCTCCTTTCATGATGTAACCATGATGTATTAGTGATGTAGATTTGGGGGGGGGGTGACATGGCAAATAGAAGGGGAAGAAATGGAGGCAGTGAGAGATTTGACTTTCTTGGGCTCCATGATCACTGCAGATGGTGACAGCAGCCACGAAATTAAAAGACGTCTGCTTCTTGGTAGAAAAGCAATGACAAACCTAGACAGCGTCTTAAAAAGCAGAGACATCACCTTGCCAACAAAGGTCGGTATAGTTAAAGCCATGGTTTTCCCAGTAGTGATGTATGGAAGTGAGAGCTGGACCATCAAGAAGGCTGATCGCCAAAGAATTGATGCTTTTGAGTGATGGTGCTGGAGGAGACTCTTGAGACTCTACTCATAAACTCTTACCCCAAATTCTGTAATGAATTATTGTGTTATACATATCTTTGTGAGTTTGAGTTTGTAATAATATGAATGCAGTAATGTTATCATTTCTCCCCCTGCAGTGCAGAAATCTCTAATCATCATCATCGGTCTGCCTTTTCCCAGCTACTCTGGGCGGTCCCAGCATAACAACGACAACAACAACGATGATGATGATGTTATGATTTAGACACCTGCCATGCAGAAATCTCTAATATTATTATTATTATTATTAATGGTATGATTTAGATGCCTGCCATGCAGAAATCTCTATTATTATTATTATTATTATTATTATTATTAGTATGATTTAGACACCTGCCATGCAGAAATCTCTATTATTATTATTATTATTATTAATGGTATGATTTAGATGCCTGCCATGCAGAAATCTCTAATAATAATAATAATATGAATGATAATAATAATATGCCCTTTCCCAGCCAAATAATGCAGAAAATAAGAATAAGAAAAATAATAATAATATGAATGCAGTAATGTTATGCTTTCTACCCCTGCCATGCAGAAAATAATAATAATAATAATAATAATAATAATAATAATAATAATAATATGAATGCAGTAATGTTACGATTTCTACCCCTGCAATGCAGAAATCTCGAAGAAGAAGAAGAAGAAGAAGATGAAGATGAATGCACTAATGTTATCATTCCTCCCTCTGCAATGCAGAAAATAAGAATAAGAAAAATAATAAGAAAAATACGAATGCACTAACGTTATCATTCCTCTCCCTGCAATGCAGAAAATAAGAATAAGAAAAAGAAAAATAATAAGAATAATATGAATGCACTAATGTTATCATTCCTCCCCTTGCAATACAGAAAATAAGAATAAGAAAAACAAAAAATAATAAGAAAAATACGAATGCACTAACGTTATCATTCCTCCCCCTGCAATGCAGAAAATAAGAAAAAGAAAAAGAAAAATAATAAGAAAAATACGAATGCACTAACGTTATCATTCCTCCCCCTGCAATGCAGAAAATAAGAAAAAGAAAAATAATAAGAATTATATGAATGCACTAACGTTATCATTCCTCCCCCTGCAATGCAGAAAATAAGAAGAAGAAAAATAAGAAGAATACGAATGCACTAACGTTATCATTCCTCCCCCTGCAATGCAGAAAATAAGAATAAGAAAAAGAAAAATAATAAGAATTATATGAATGCACTAATGTTATCATTCCTCCCCCTGCAATGCAGAAAATAAGAAAAAGAAAAATAATAAGAAGAATATGAATGCACTAATGTTATCATTCCTCCCCTTGCAATGCAGAAAATAAGAATAAGAAAAATAATAAGAAAAATACGAATGCACTAATGTTATCATTCCTCCCCTTGCAATGCAGAAAATAAGAATAAGAAAAAGAAAAATAATAAGAATAATATGAATGCACTAATGTTATCATTCCCTTGCAATGCAGAAAATAAGAATAAGAAAAATAATAAGAATAATACGAATGCACTAACGTTATCATTCCTCCCCCTGCAATGCAGAAATTTCTAGTCACCCGCCCCCCCCCCCGGTTTGCCTTTTCCCAGCAAAACAGGAATATTCCCCAGCGCAATCAATGAGAGCCGAATGACAGCTCTGCACCAGCTCAACCCTGCCGAGGGGGCGGGGGGTGGGCGATTCCCGCCGCCGGCCAATCCCGCGCCGCTACGTCAGCTCAGCCGGGATCCGCCCTTCGCCCGGGATCGCCTCTGCAGCAGCTGCTTATCTCCGAGCCGCAGACGCCCCTGCGCAGAAGATCTCCCCCCTTGCGACGAATTTCAACCCCTGTTTTTCAACCTCCTTGCCTTTTCTTCTCCCCTTCCCGACCGGATCCCCATCAGATCCCCAGCAGATCCCGAGCGGAAAGCCCGGAAAAGGTGAGCTAATCCTCCTCCTCTTCATCTTTCCCCATCCCCCAACAATGGCTTCCCTTTGTCTTCCGGCTGGGCGAGGCCAGGGCAGGGGATCAGGCCCATTCCCGAAGGATCTAGGCAGGGGATCTGCTCGTGGCAGGGGGGGTAGGGCGTTTCCCAAAGCATTTTTGCAGGGAATCTGCCCCTTCCCAATGGATTTCCGCAGGGAATCGGCCCGTGGGAGGAAACGGGCGTTTCCCAAAGCGTTTTTTTTGCAAGGAATCTGTCCATTGCAAAGACTCGGGCCCTTTCCCGAAGGATTCCGGCAGGGGATCTGCTCGTGGCGGGGGGGGGGGGTCGGGCCCTTCCCGAAGCATTTTTTTGCAAGGAATCTTCTTTCTCCCGAAGCTTTTTCGGCAGGGGATCGGCCTCTTCCCAAAGGATTTCGGCAGGGGATCTGCTGATTGCAGGGGATCAGGCCCTTCCCAAAAGCTTTATTGGCAACGTTTGCCTTTTTTAAAGGGAAATTCCCTTATTCTGAATAGGATTCCTCGCGAGAAAAGGGAAAAGTGGACAGCTAGGTTTCTGGCAGGGGATCTGCCCTTTCCCAAAGCCTTTTTGCAGGTGATCTGCTCATGGCAGGGGATCAGGCCCTTCCCAAAGCTTTTTGGCAGGGAATCTGCCCCTTGCAGGGAATCAGCCCATTGCACAGAATCTGTCCCTTTCCGAAAGCTTTGCAAAGAATCTGCTTCTTCCCAAAACCTTTTTGGCAGGGAATCTACCCCTTGCAGGGGATCTGCCCCTCCCCAGAGCTTTTTTTTTTTGCAAGGGATCTACCCCTTCTAGGGAATCTGCCCTTTCCCAAAGGATCCTTGCAGGGAATCTGCCCTTTCCCAAAGCATTTTTGACAGGGAATCTACCCCTCGCCAAAGGATTTCTGCAGGGATCCAACACATTGTTTGCAGGGAATCTGCCCATTGCAAGGAATCTGCCATGCTGTGGCAATAAAGCTTTTGGGAAGGGCCCGATCCCCTGCAAGGGGCAGATTCCCTGCCAAAATCCTTTAGGGATGCTGCCCCTTCCAGGGAATCTTCCCATTGCACAGAATCTGTCATTTCCCAAAGCTTTGCAAGGAATCTGCCCTTTTCCAAAGGATTTTTGCAGGAAATCCACACATTCCTATAGCTTGTTTGCAGGGAATCTGCCCCTTCCCAAAACATTTTTGAGGGAATTCGCCCATTGCAGGGGATCTGCTCTTTCCCAAAGCTTGGCAAGGAATCTGCCTTTTCCCCAAGCTTTTCTGCAGGAAATCTGCTCATGGCAGGGGATCAGGCCCTTCCCAAAGCCTTTTTGGCAGGGGATCAGCCCATTGCACAGAATCTGCCCCTTCCCAAAGCTTTGCAAAGAACCTGCTTTTTCCCAAAGCTTTTTGCACAAGGAATCTGCCCTTTTCGAAAGCTTTGCAAGGAATCTACCCCTTGTAGATAATCTGCCCTTTCCCAAAGGATCTTTGCAGGGAATCTGCTCATGGCAGGGGATCAGGCCCTTCCCAAAGCATTTTTGCAGGGAATCTGCTAATGGCAGGGAATCTGCTCATGGCAAGGAATCTGCCCCTTTCAGGGAATCTGCCCTTTCCCAAAGGATCCTTGCAGGGAATCTGCTTTTCCCCAAAGCTTTTTATGCCAGGGAATCTGCCCTTTTACAAAGGACTTCTGCAGGGAATCAACACAATCCTATAGCTTTTTTGCAGGGAATCTCCTCATTGCAGGGGATCGGGCCCCTCCCAAAGCTTTTCTTTGCAAGGAATCTACCCCTTGCAGGGGATCTGCCCTTTCCCAAAGCCTTTTTGTAGGGAATCTGCCCCTTCTAGGGGATCTGCCCCTCCCCAAAGCTTTTTTGGCAAGGAATCTGCCTGTTCCGAAAGCTTGGCAAGGAATCTACCCTTGTAGGGAATCTGCCCTTCCCCAACATCATTTTTTGCAGGGAATCTGCCCCTGGCAAGGAATCTGCCTCTCCCAAAGCTTTTTTTTTTTTTTTTTTGCAGGAATCTGCTCATGCCAGGGGATCGGGCCCTTCCCAAAGCTTTGCAAGGAATCTGCTTTTTCCCAAAGTATTTGCAAGGAATCTGCCCCCTTCCAAATGATTTTTCCAGGGAATCTGCTCATAGCAGGGGATCGGGCCATTCCCAAAGCTTTGCTGGGAATCTGCCCTTTCCCAAAGGATTTCTGCAGGGAATCAACACAATCCTATAGCTTTTTTGCAGGGAATCTGCCCTTTCCCACAGTATTTTTGCAGGGAATCTGCCCATTCCCAAAGGATCCTTGCAGGGAATCTGCCCTTTCCCAAAGCTTTTTTGCAGGGAATCTGCTCATGGCAGGGAATCTGCCCCTTTCAGGGAATCTGCCCTTCCCCAAGCTTTTTTGCAAGGAATCTGCCCCTTCCCAAAGCTTTTGGCAGGGGATCAGCCCATTGCACAGAATCTGCCCCTTCCCAAAGCTTGGCAAGGGATCTGCTTTTTCCCAAAGCTTTTTTGGCAAGGAATCTGCCCTTTTTGAAAGCTTTGCAAGGAATCTACCCCTTGTAGAGAATCTGCCCTTTCCCAAAGGATCTTTGCAGGGAATCTGCCCCTTGCAGGGAATCTGCCCCTTCCCAAAGCATTTTGGCAGGAAATCTGCCCTCTTGTAGGGAATCTACTATTTCCCAAAGCTTTCCCAAAGGATCTTTGCAGGGAATCTGTCCATTGCAAGGAATCTGTCCCTTCGCAAAGCTTTTTTGCAGGGAATATGCTTTTTCACAAAGCTTTTTTGCGGGGAAGCTGCCCCTTGCAAGGAATCTGCCCAAAGAATCTTCCCCTTCCCAAAGCATTCTTGCAAGGAATCTGCTCAGGGCAGTGAATCTGCCCCTCCCCAAAGCTTTTTTGGCAAGGAATCTACCCCTTCTAGGGAATCGGCTTTCCCCCCAAGCTTTTCTGCAGGGAATCTGCCCATGGCAGGGAATCTGTCCCTTCCCAAAGCATTTTGGCAGGGGATTGGGCCCTTCCCAAAGCATTTTTCCTGGGAATCTGCTCATGGCAGGGAATCGGGCCCTTTCCAAAGCTTTGCTGGGAATCTGCCCCTTCCCAAAGGATTTCTGCAGGGAATCTTTCCTTTCCCAAAGCTTTGCAGGGAATCTGCTCTTTCCCAAAGGATCCTTGCAGGGAATCTGCTCATGGCAGGGGATCTGGCCCTTCTTGCAGGGAAGTCAGCCCTTTCCCAGAGCATTTCTGCAAGGAAACTGCCCTTTCCCAAAGATTTTCAGGATCTCCTTGCAAGGGATCTGCCCTTTCCCAAAGATTTTGGCAGGGATCTGCTCAGGGCAGGGGATCTGGCCCTTCACAAAGCTTTGCCAAGGAATCTGCTCTGCCCAGAGGATCTTTGCAAGGAATCTGTCCTTTCCCAAAGCATTTTTGCAGGGGATCTCCCTCAGGTTCTGCAGGGATCTGCCCTTCCCAAAGCTGATCTCTGCAGGGGATCTGCCATTTCCAAAGCCTTGCAAGGAATCTGCCCTTTCCAAAGCATTCTGCAGGGAATCTGCTCCAGGATAGGATCAGGCCCTTCCCCAAGGATCTCTGCAAGGGATCTGCCCTTTTCCCAAGGATTTCTGCAGCCAGGAATCTGCCATATAAACTGCCCTTTCCCCAGATCAGCCTCTTTCCACAGCTCAAGGAATCTGCACCTTTCCCAAACCTCTTTCGCAGCAGGGATCGCTCAGCCTTTCCCCAAAGGATTTCTGCACTAGGGATCTCATCCTTTCCCTTTAAAAGATCTCCTGGGATTTCCACTTTCCCAAAATATCTAGATTTCCACTTGGATTTCATCTCCTTTTCCCAATGGATGTGATTCTGGTTTTTTTTAAATATGTATATTATTTTTAGCTTCTTTTCTAGTTAAAATATTTATAATTTTCAGCTTGTGTTTTATCCTGGTTTAAAATATATATAATTTTCAGCTTGTGTTTTATCCTGGTTTAAAATATATAATTTTCGGTTTGCATTTTATCCTGGTTTTCCAATTGCATTTGATTCTGGTTTTTAAATATATATAGAATTTTCCCCTTGCAATTTAATTCTGATTTTCCAATTGCATTTATTCTTGTTTTTAAATATATATAGAATTTTCCCCTTGCATTTTATTCTGGTTTTCAATTGCATTTTATTCTGGTTTAAAATATATATAATTTTCAGTTTGCATCTTATCCTGGTTTAAAATACACAGTTCTCAGCTTGCGTCTTATCCCGGTTTAAAATATATAGTTTATCCCGATTTAAAATATATAGTTTATTCTGGTTTAAAATATATAGTTCTCAGCTTGCGTCTTATCCCGGTTTAAAATATATAGTTTATTCTGGTTTAAAATATATAGTTCTCAGCTTGCGTCTTATCCTGGTTTAAAATATATGAGAGGAAGTGAGGGGAAAAGAGGGCAAATGAGAGGAAGTGAGAGGGCAAATGAAGAAACGAGAGGAAGTGAGAGGGCAAATGAAAGGAAGTGAGGGGAAATGAGAGGAAGTGAGAGGGCAAATGAAAGGAAACGAGAGGAAGTGAGGAAAAGAGGGCAAATGAGAGGAAGTGAGAAGGCAAATAAGAGGAAAAGAGAGGACAAACGAAAGGAAGTGAGGGGAAACAAGAGGAAGTGAGAGGGCAAACGAAGAGAGGAAAACGAGAGAAAGGCAAAGGAGAGAGGCAAATGAAAGGACAGTGAGAGGGCAAATAAGAGGAAATGAGGGAAAATGAAAGGAAGTGAGAGGGCAAATGAAAGGAAGTGAGGGAAATGAGAGGGAGAGGGCAAATGAGAGGAAGTGGAAGGGCAAATGAAAGGAAGTGAGAGGAAATGAGAGGCAAGTGAGAGGGCAAATGAGAAGGCAAATGAAAGGACATGAAAGGGCAAATAAGAGGAAATGAGGGAAAATGAAAGGAAGTGAGAGGGCAAATAAGAGGAAATGAGAAATGAGAGGAAGTGAGAGGGCAAATGAAATGAAGTGAGGGCAAATGAAAGGAAGTGAGGGGAAGTGAGAGGGCAAAGGAGAAGGCAAAGGAGAAGGCAAATGAAAGGACATGAAAGGGCAAATAAGAGGAAATGAGGGAAAATGAAAGGAAGTGAGAGGGCAAATAAGAGGAAATGAGGGGAAAAGAGAGAACAAATGAAAGGAAGTGAGAGGGCAAATGAAAGGAAGTGAGAAATGAGAGGGAGAGAGGGCTACTGATAGGATGTGGAAGGGCAAATGAAAGGAAGTGAGGGGAAATGAGAGGAAGTGAGAGGACAAATGAAAGGAAGTGAGAGGAAGTGAGAGGAAAAGAGGGCAAATGAGAGGAAGTGAGAGGGCAAATGAAAGAAAGCGAGAGGAAGTGAGAGGGCAAATGAAAGGAAGTGAGAGGGCAAATAAGAGGAAAAGAGAGGACAAACGAAAGGAAGTGAGGGGAAACAAGAGGAAGTGAGGGGAAACAAGAGGAAACGAGAGGGCAAATGAGAAGGCAAATGAAAGGACATGAAAGGGTAAATAAGAGGAAATGAGGGGAAATGAAAGGAAGTGAGAGGGCAAATAAGAGGAAATGAGGGGGAAAGAGAGAACAAATGAAAGGAAGTGAGAGGGCAAATGAAAGGGAGGGGAAATGAGAGGAAGTGAGAGGGCAAATGAAAGGAAGTGGAAGGGCAAATGAAAGGAAGTGAGGGAAATGAGAGGAAGTGAGAGGGCAAAGGAGAAGGCAAATGAAAGGACATGAAAGGGCAAATAAGAGGAAATGAGGGGAAATGAAAGGAAGTGAGAGGGCAAATAAGAGGAAATGAGGGGGAAAGAGAGAACAAATGAAAGGAAGTGAGAGGGCAAATGAAAGGGAGGGGAAATGAGAGGAAGTGAGAGGGCAAATGAAAGGACGTGGAAGGGCAAATGAAAGGAAGTGAGGGGAAATGAGAGGAAGTGGGAGGGCAAATGAAAGGAAATGAGAGGAAGTGAGAGGAAAAGAGGGCAAATGAGAGGGAGAGGGCAAATGAAAGGAAACGAGAGGAAGTGAGAGGGCAAATGAAACGAGAGGAAGTGAGAGGGCAAATGAGAGGAAGTGAGAGGGCAAATGAAAGGAAGTGAGGGGAAACGGGAGGAAGTGAGAGAGGATAAGAGAGGGCAAATGAGAGGAAGCGAGAGGGCAAATAAGAGGAAATGAGGGAAATTGAAAGGAAGTGGGAGGAAGAGAGAGGAAAAGAGGGCCAATCGATGGCAGGACCTCCGTATTTTGATGGAGAAATGGATGGAAGGACCTCCATCTTTTGACCCCAGACCCTCTTTGGCCTTCCAGACCATGGACCTCTCCGGCGTGAAGGTCCTGGAGAGGAAGAGAGAACAAATGAAAGGAAGTGAGAGGGCAAATGAAAGGAAATGAAGGAAAATGAGAGGAAGTGAGAGGGCAAATGAAAGGAAGCGAGAGGAAGTGAGAGGGCAAATGAAAGGAAGCGAGAGGAAGTGAGAGGGCAAATGAAAGGAAACGAGAAGAAGTGAGAGGAAAAGAGGGCAAATGAGAGGAAGTGAGAGGGCAAATAAGAGGAAAAGAGAGGACAAACGAAAGGAAGTGAGGGGAAACAAGAGGAAGTGAGGGGAAACGGGAGGAAACGAGAGGGCAAAGGAGAAGGCAAATGAAAGGAAGTGAGAGGGCAAATAGGGCAAATGAGAGGAAGTGGAAGGGCAAATGAAAGGAAACGAGAGGAAGTGAGAGGAAAAGAGGGCAAATGAGAGGAAGTGGAAGGGCAAATGAAAGGAAGTGAGGAGAAATGAGAGGAAGTGAGAGGGCAAATGAAAGGAAACGAGAGGAAGTGAGAGGAAAAGAGGGCAAATGAGAGGAAGTGAGAGGGCAAATAAGAGGAAAAGAGAGGACAAACGAAAGGAAGTGAGGGAAAACAAGAGGAAGTGAGGGGAAACGGGAGGAAACGAGAGGGCAAAGGAGAAGGCAAATGAAAGGGCAAATAAGAGGAAATGAGGGAAAATGAAAGGAAGCGAGGGGAAATGAGAGGGAGAGGGCAAATGAAAGGAAGTGGAAGGGCAAATGAAAGGAAGTGAGGGGAAATGAGAGGAAGTGAGAGGGCAAAGGAGAAGGCAAATGAAAGGACATGAAAGGGCAAATAAGAGGAAATGAGGGGAAATGAAAGGAAGTGAGAGGGCAAATGAAAGGAAGTGAGGGGAAATGAGAGGGGGAGGGCAAATGAAAGGAAGTGGAAGGGCAAATGAAAGGAAGTGAGGGGAAATGAGAGGAAAAGAGGGCAAATGAGAGGAAGTGAGAGGGTAAATGAAAGGAAGTGAGGGAAAATGAGAGGAAGTAAGAGGGCAAATGAAAGGAAGTGAGGGGAAACGGGAGGAAGTGAGAGGAAAAGAGAGGGCAAATGAGAGGAAGTGAGAGGGCAAATAAGAGGAAATGAGGGAAATTGAAAGGAAGTGGGAGGAAGAGAGAGGAAAAGAGGGCCAATCGATGGCAGGACCTCCGTATTTTGATGGAGAAATGGATGGTAGGACCTCCAGATTTTGATGGAGAACCTCTTTGAAATTGATGGTAGGACCTCCAGATTTTGATGGAGTAATGGATGGTAGGACCTCCAGATTTTGATGGAGAACCTCTTTGAAATTGATGGTAGGACCTCCAGATTTTGATGGAGAACCTCTCTGAAATTGATGGTAGGACCTCCATATTTTGATGGAGAAATGGATGGTAGGACCTCCATATTTTGATGGAGAAATGGATGGTAGGACCTCCAGATTTTGATGGAGAACCTCTTTGAAATTGATGGTAGGACCTCCAGATTTTGATGGAGAACCTCTTTGAAATTGATGGTAGGACCTCCGTATTTTGATGGAGAAATGGATGGTAGGACCTCCAGATTTTGATGGAGAACAACTTGGAACTAGATGGTAGGACCTCCAGATTTTGATGGAGAAATCCATGGTAGGACCTCCAGATTTTGATGGAGAACCTCTTTGAAATTGATGGTAGGACCTCCAGATTTTGATGGAGAAATCCATGGTAGGACCTCCAGATTTTGATGGAGAACCTCTTGGAAATTGATGGTAGGACCTCCAGATTTTGATGGAGAAATCCATGGTAGGACCGCCATCTTTTGACCCCTGACCCTCTTTCACTTCCAGACCATGGATCTCTCCGGGGTGAAGGTCCTGGAGACGGCGGAGGACATCCAAGAGCGGCGCCAGCAGGTCTTGGACCGCTACCACCGCTTCAAGGAGTTGTCCACCCTGCGCCGCCAGAAGTTGGAGGACTCCTACCGCTTCCAGTTCTTCCAGCGCGACGCCGACGAGTTGGAGAAGTGGATCCAGGAGAAGCTCCAGGTGGCCTCGGACGAGAGCTACAAGGATCCCACCAACCTGCAGGTGAGGGATCCCAGGGGTCATCTAGGCTGACCCACCAGAAGGTTGATGGAGGATGGTGGGATCTTGAGGGAGAATTGTGGCATCTTGAGGGAGAATTATGGAATTTTGAGAGAAAATCGTAGAATTTTGAGAGAAAATCGTAGAATTTTGACCAAAAATCGTAGAATTTTGACCGAAAATCGTAGAATTTTGACCGAAAATCGTAGAATTTTGACCAAAAATCATAGAATTTTGACCAAGAATAATAGAATTTTGACCAAAAATCATAGAATTTTGACCAAGAATTATAGAATCTTGGCCGAGAATTATGGAATCTTGACCGAGAATTATGGAATCTCGACTGAAAATTATGGAATCTCGATTGAGAATTATGGAATCTCAACTGAAATTTATAGAATCTCAACTGAGAAATAGAATCTCAACCGAGAATTATGGAATCTTGACTGAGGATTATGGATTTTCAATGGAAAATCATAGAATTTCGAACAAGAATTATACAATCTCGACCGAAAATTCTAGAATCTCGACAGATAATTATAGAATCTCAACTGAGAATTCCAGAATTTTGACCCAAGATTTATAGAATTTTGACCAAAAATTATGGAATTTTGACCAAGAATTCTAGAATCTCGACCGAGAATTCTAGAATCTCGAATGAAAATTATGGAATCTCGACCAAGAATTCTAGAATTTCCAGTGAGAAATAGAATCTTGCCTGAAAATTAGGGAATTTTGACTAAGAATGATGGAATTTTGACCACAATTATGGAATTTTGACCAAAAATTCTGGAATCCCGACCGCAAATTAGATTCCTCGAGTCTCACGGGACCCCGGGGTCATCTAGTCTGACCCGCCCAATCTCTGCCCCCTTTTCCAGGGCAAGTTGCAGAAACACCAAGCCTTTGAGGCCGAGGTCCAAGCCAACGCGGGCGCCATTGTCAAACTGGACGAGACTGGGAACCAGATGATGAACGAGGGGCACTTTGCCAGCGAAACCATCCGGGTGAGGATTTGACCCCGTTTCCCCAAATTTTGAGTGGTTTTGCCCCAAAACGTCGGGTCGGGTGGTACAAGGAGGTGGAGTCAGGGAGGGAGAGGAGGCGGAGTCAGGGAGGGAGGAGGTGGAGTCAGGGAGGGGAGGAGGTGGAGTCAGGGAGAGGCGGAGTCAGGGAGGGAGGAGGTGGAGTCAGGGAGGGAGAGGAGGTGGAGTCAGGGAAGGAGAGGAGTCAGGGAGGGAGAGGAGGTGGAGTCAGGGAGGGAGAGGAGGCGGAGTCAGGGAGGGAAAGGAGGCGGGGCCAGTGAAGGAGAAGAGGTGGAGTCAGGGAATGAGAGGCG